CCTGCCGAGTTAGGTATTTGCTTAGACTAGCCCCAAGTTACCTTTTTGCCTTTTCGATTTGCTATAAAAGGAAGCTGCATTGTATGAAGTGACTTTCTTTGCTCCATGCAACTCTGAAACTCTGGACTAACTTCATCACTTATCTTATATCTCTTCACTCAAGCTCAAATACAAACTTGATCATCGGAGGAACCATCGAAGAACCCAACTCCGGCCTCTCACGAGTTCTTTATGTGAACGGAAGAACAACGAGCCCCAGAACCAGTCATCTGAAAGAGCTTGACGACCCAAACACCATCATAATTCACCCGCGAACCTTTGTTTGATAACTGGAATCAACAATTGATAACCAATAAGATCACATCTTCAGCAATACTAATTTTAGTCGAGTCCTCATTTGATTTTTCTTCATATTCTTCTTGTTTCTTCTTATTCTTCAATTTGTAATAATCAGCCTTGAAGCACCATTTCTTCTTGAAATATTTGCAGGTCAGATTTATGTGCTTCCACTTATACATGTTACCTCAAAAGTCTTTTTCTTTCTGTTGATGCTCAATATCAAACAACTAATTAATCCAGAAGACGATTGTTGTAGGGTGATGAAGGATGATGGAGGGCCAGCTCCCTTCTTTGACTTTATGCCTGGTTCTTGAACGAGGGCTTGATGTCCGTACTATACAGCCAAAAAGAACCCGTAAGAGGGCGGAGACTGGTTCCCCGTAGTTCCTCTGATGGTCAAGTTAGTGAAATTTGAGTGGAGAAGTGGAAGATCATGAACCGATATGGTTCTTAAGATAGCAATGTGCATGACTAAAGGATCTACGTGAGCTCCTCTATCCTACTTTGAGGAACTATATCTGTTCTCCTTTTTAGGAAGGAGTTTTTTAGGAGTCTTTCTCCTTGTCTCCCCCTCCTTTTTCCAGGAATTAGGTTTATACCTCTATATGAAGTGGCGAGGTGAGCTGATAACAGGATTATCCCTTGCTTGACAGATGTCAACTTGCGATTAAAGAGGAAGTCACTTCGGTGTGGGAGAGGACGTCTCTGCAACATCCGAGAAGTGATAGATGGGCGTGGCAGAAGCACGTGGGCATACTAAATCGTCCCTCGCTTTACAGATATTGGCGGGCGGCTGGAGGGGGAAGTTACTTCGCTAGGGGAGAGGACGTCTCTACAATATTCGGGAAGTGATTGAGCTGACAAGTCATGGAGACCTATCAGGCCAAAGTTGTTTGTGGGAAAATTTACAGTAAAAGAAACGAAGGAAAATTGATTTGTATTCCTTTAATCTCAATTATAATTGGATTTCCTGATTACAAAAGAGAGGAGAATGATCTGGATTCTCCCCTTTGTTTAATTCTGGGTTCTTCACGGTGGCGATGGAGTGCCTCCCTTGAATGCTCGCGTCGAGTTTGCTCTCCGTTGACGATCCGAACGTCTTGATTCACTGGAACGTGGTCTTCTCCTCACGATTTGACGTTGTGGAGAACTCTGAAAGAGTTTGAAACTCTATGAAAGAGTTGATTTAATCGAAATTGGTCTATAAGCCAAGGATGAAGAAAGCTCCTGTTGCTGATCTCCAAAGCTCCAGTAATTTCCCCCAAAGATCTCTTCTTTGCTGCCAAAAAGAAGGATGAAAGATCCCGCCCCTGCTGCCAAGGAGTCCCGTTGATTTAACCGAAATTGGTCTATAAGCCAAGGATGAAGAAAGCTCCTGTTGCTGATCTCCAAAGCTCCAGTAATTTCCCCCCAAAGATCTCTTCTTTGCTGCCAAAAAGAAGGATGAAAGATCCCGCCCCTGCTGCCAAGGAGTCCCAACAGACCGAACCCCGAACTGAATTGATTTTTAGTTATTTATAAGGGATTAAGGGGTGTAACCACCCTCGGATGTAACCGCTCCTTAAATCACTCCTGAGTGGAGTTGTGATCCCCTCAGATCGTGGGAAACGGTTTTGAAACCGTTCAGCTCGTGTTTGAACGAGTCAAACGCAAAATCCGCGTTCTGGTGTGAATTCTGCGTTCAAACGCAGTGTCTGGAAGCTTGAACGCAGTGTCTGAAAGCTCGGACGCAGCGGCTGGAAGCTGCGTTGGCATCTTGTTGGAAGCTGCATTTGGTGGCTTGGAAGTTGCGTTTGGCAGCGGATGGAAGCTGCGTTTGGTAGCGGATGGAAGCTGCGTTGGCAGCTTGTTAGAAGCTGCGTTGGCAGGATTTAAGAGCTGCTGTATGCAGGGAAAAATTGCAATGAAGAGAATAAAGAAAATTTGATTTTGATTCCTTTGATCTCGGTTACAACTTGATTACAAAAGAGAGGAGAACGAAATTGGTTCTTCCTCTTTATTTAAAACTGGGTTCTTCACGTGGTTCGCGGGGAGGACTTCCACGTCTTGGTTTGAAGAGACCGTCGATTTGTAATCTCTTTCTGTCAGAACGTTGCAAAGATCATCGTTTTGTAATCTTTGCTTTAGCTCTTTGATATGTGAGAGTTGTCAGATTGTAACTCTCGATGTTGATTGTGAAGGCTGCTGATTAGAGCTTTCATCAGTCGTTACGAAGGTCGTCAGATTGTAACCTTCATCAGTCTGCGTGAAAGTCTTCAAATTGTAACCTTCTGGAAGTCGTCAGAGTGTAACTTCCATCATCGGTGTTTGATGGGGATCAGCTATCTGCAGTGATTTTTAGACAGCCTACAAAAGTCTACATAAGGCTTGTCCGATGTGGATTGAGATATCGACATATGCTACGGGGGAGACACTTGAGGCTGGGGCCGAGTTCTCTACTTTGTCGAAAGCAGGAAATTTTAAAAGCCCAATGAGTGATCGAGTGCCCTAAGTAGGGTCTTCCTTGATGATAGGGTCGATCTATACCGTCTTTCGCGTAGACTCAAGAGTGTCAGTCAGTCCGACTGGTTGGAATGTCGTCTCGTCTTAACCAATAACCGTCTTTCGAGTTAATATAAAGATGTCGACTCGTCTGGGAGGTTAGGATCTCTCATGCCGACCAATATCACCTCGGGTGTCGACACCATAGTGTCGGCTTGATGAGTCGGCGGAGCCGAGGCCTCTGTGATTGTGCTTTGGGCTTACATTGATAAAGAGCTATGATGGTCGAGTTGTATTTAGAGGAGTCGACCATACGTTGTGCCTTAGACTTACCTTGATAAAGAGCTAATGGCTTGTTTATCCGACTGAGGAGTCGTTGTGCCTAGAACTCTTAAGAGTTGACTAGGGCTCTCCTTCCCCAAAGGCAAGAGATGACTGTGGGAGTCGGCCAAAGGGTTGAGTTTATTTTGCTAGGACTATTGTTGTATCATTTTGCCGATATCTGTACCTTGGGTGAGTGAACACCATAACACTTTCGATCTTCCTCAAACAAAAAAGCCTGCAGCTTTAACACCACTTTTCACTTATGGTTAATTCTTTGTTGATGTCTTACTTATTCAAGAAGTTCTCTTTGACGCCCTTGATGTCAATAGAATCTCGATCATAAATCATAGTATCTCTAAAGTGCTTATAGGAAGGGAGCAAAAAACACAATAGCAATAAGACTTTATCTTCATCATTAATTTTAATGCCAATCTTACTCAAATCTATAATCATAGAATTGAATCCAATATGAGATTTTATGGGTGTACCTTCCGACATTCGAAGTGTGTACAAACGCTGCTTTAAGAGGAGTCGATTAGTAAAACTCTATTTTTTAAGAATCAAACATGGGTAACTACTATTAAGAAAAGATAGCGTCTCATTAGAAAATTTAATTGATTCTCAAAGACTATTTCTAGGAAAGTGTCTCATTTTTTGCATAGTAGACAAGAATAGTATAACTCTCAAAGACAAAAGCAATAGCAGTTACCCATGTTTGATTCTCAAAGACTATTTCTAGAAAAGTGTCTCATTTTTTGCATAGTAGTACAAGAATAGTATAACTCTCTATAGTAGATTTAACATTACTCACTAGTTAGCAAATGAGAAAAAAGTTCCTTATTAAATCTTTCACAGTTTTGAAATTTATCACTTAGATCATTAAAATTTCTATTAGGTCCCTCAATCCGTAAGTTATTTGAAATTAGTTCCTCAAATCATTCAAATTACTATTAAATCTCTCAATTCTTAAGTTATTTTGAATTAGCCCCTTCAATCAAGAGTGAAGTAGCAATTAGAGGGAAACTGGTTCCTCAAATGATCATCTAAATTTTTGTTAGATCCTCTAGTTCTCATAAGTTTATTTCAAATTAAGCTTTTTTAATTCCTAATTCTATTATTGATTTGAGGGACTAGTTTGAAACTATAGCTTCAAAATTGAGGGATTGACCTAATAGCAATTTTAATCTTTTAAAACACTAGTTTTAAAATATTAAAAATTTTAAGGGACTAATATTGCAAAAGCCTATTTCGTTTCATACCCTCAATTAGTTATCTAATGATTTTAAATTTGATTGCAAGACCATCTTTTATGTCCTACATCCAGCTGTCTAAACATTGGGAACTGACAGCAATTCACGAATAACTTTTGTTGTTTGAAGAAACAAGGATTAATTTAGAACAAGAGAGAAATTTAAACTGCCATCAGTTTCCTGTAGCAGAGTTTGAGAAGCTTCACTGCTGTGGTCTTAATTATTAATCAGTCCACCTTTGGAGAAAGATCCAGCAGAGTAGAATGTATCAAATGGTTTTTAGTCTATGGCATTAATGAATGACACTAACTATGCTCTCAGGGGATATCAACCATTGAATCGGTTTTGAACTGTAGTACATTCTAGGTTGGGGATATGTACTTTTTATGTAACAACCTCTAATGATATTTAGCTGGTTGGGATACTTTTATGATATTCCATCCTTTTTCTAAAAAAAAAAAACCATTGAATCAGCGTGAGAATCATGAAGTTCAACTATAAAAGGATTGATATTACTTGGGTGCATGTTTATGTCATGCATATATAGATCGTCTTCTCTAAATACTTTCTCCCATCTTTCACATATCTAACTTATGCAAACCAATAGACCAGCATAATTCGAAGAGGAGCATTTATAGCAACAAACCGTTGATACTTTAGAATGGAACAGTGCTAAAAGCACAATACATATATACTACAGCAAAAGTAAGAGAAACTTGTGCATTAGAGGAAAGAACCAACAGTTAGCGTATCCTCGAAGCACTTATTTTCGATCACTAGTAATTGCTCATTCAGGTAACATCTCCTTATAAAGATCTTAATGCACCCTGCAAGCAAAGAGAACAAAAATCGATATCGTACAACATTTCAAGAGATATTTTCTGTAGCTTTAAAATGGTTTGCCATATATTTTAATAAAAATAATTTATGATGCCCTTCTAAAAAACCTATAATAGTTCATGATAATTGTGTTAAAATTGTCTTAAATGAGTGTTTTCATATGACCATATTTATAGAGAAATTAGATTCCTATCATTACGACAAAACTCTAGAGTTATGGTAAGTGTTGATGGTTACACTTTTATACTTAAAATATGGCTCAAAGGTTGAGAATTAATATCGCTACAGTAATATAAAATTTTCAAAATCCATTTCAATTTTGTAGCTTGGGAAATTGAATATGTATCGATTTGATACCATGTTAAAAGACTCTTCTATACAAATCTTTGAAGTTATAAGAAAGGTTAAGGGTTATACTTTTATACTCCTGACATTCGCTAACTTCATAACTAAGAAGTTCACAGTCCTACACGAACACACTTACTTGCTGCAGTCAGTGGATGGGCTGATGGCATAGCCAACATTAACGTTACACATTGCAGGGACTCCTGCAGCAAGACCATACTTGATGCCGGGAATCTTTGCAGCGAAAGACTTAAGACAGTTGCAGGTCGCCTGGCGAGCTGGGCCTGTCATCGCTGCGCTGCTGAGGGTCTTCACGCCGTTGCAGCACCCGGCCTGCAGCGGCCCAATGCCGCGGACGTAGTTCACGCACGGCGCCAGGGCGGAAGCAACTCCGCTGCAGGTGACTGCCTCAGCGTGCTGCGTG